CAGGCTTCATCCTAACCATTACAGGCAAGATGTTGTGTGAAGAAGGGCGAACATGTAGATTGCTAAGCTGACACGTGGGGGACAAGAATGACCGACGTAACTGGTCTGACACCGGTCATGTCGTCAGCAGACAGCCACGATTCCACGTCGCACCTGCTCCCGGCGAAAGTGGAGGTAGTTGTGGCCCGTCTCATCAGAAGGTGACTCGGACGGCAACTATACAAATCTCCGTCCATTTATGAAAAGGTAGGGTAAGTCCCCACAGAAAAAGAGAGAGATGGTGCATGTGGTATCCCCTTAAGATATAAAAAAGGAGGACCTTGCCCACTGAGAAGGGGAGGGGACTTTTCCAGATTAGAAACCCAGAACAAGGGAGAGGCTGGCTCATACTTTGTAGCTCCTTTATACACAGATCTCCCAAAAACACAGGAGTAGGGTATTACGCTTCTCAGCGGCCCGAACCTGTATACATCGCCCGTGTCTTGTGTGTTTCCTGTCTCGCGAGCCTTCCACATACAGAGAGCTTAGAATCTCTCCCTGAGCCCCCGGCCGAACCGGCAAAGGGGGGCCTGCGCGGTCTCCCGGTGAGGAGCCCCACGCTCCGTCAGGGTCTGTTCGACTGGCATTTTTTACAGCTGCACGAAGGCTAGCTGCAGCTGCACAACACAAGCGCTGCAGCCGTAGCACTGTCGTAGGAATGGCAGTCGAACATGCCCATGGGATATACGACTCCATCTTGACCTCCTTCAGGCTTAGGATTGATCGATGGGGGTCTGGTCCCGCTTTAAGGGACCATTTGATTCCGTGGCCATGCCGTCACTAATTGCACCCTCTCTCCACTGTCGCCTATACCCAGATCCACAGAAGATGGGTTAGTCACCGACCTCAGTCCTGCTCGCCGCTCTTCGCCCATTGTCTATCTCCGCCTTGTTAGCCGTCCTCCGCTGTAGGCCTCCACAGACCTTGAGTGGAGATGGGAGGGTCGAGGCGGAGGACGGGAGGAGGAGAAGGAGGTGGCGAACCCGCAGCCACCGGCTACTCACCTTCTCGATTTAGGTTTAATTATCATGCGGGTACGTTCACCTTCTCCCTTTCTTTCTCTTGACACTGACGAGAGACGAGCTAGGAGAGAGATTGAACAAGAATCGATGAGAGAGCGAGAAAGAGAGAGATAAGTCTTGACCGGCTGCTCGTGCTGATCTGGCCCAGCCGGCCAACTCAACGTGGCAAACGTGTGCAAACTAACTGGAGAAAACGTTGCACTATTGTATTGTGTGATTATACAATGCACGGGCAAAAAAAAGTCATCCATTTTTGAAAACACTATACTACCTCCATAAAAAAAAATTTCTATGAAATTAAGGACAAATTATAAAGATAAACAAATGATCACATTAACCTTAATTATTTAATGAACACAGTACACGCACACACATTATATATAAACTTGATTAAAAATAAGGTTGAGACAAGAGGTTAAGAGATGAAATGGAAAGAAAGGAGATTACAAGGAAACAAATTTTGATGTAATCAATTTGTTTTGTTAGGTCCCACATTAGTAGACATAAAATTTTTATGGGACAAAGATTTAAAGGTAGAAATTCAATTTTTATGAAACTAAGGCAGTAGAAGTTTCATAAAAGAAAACGTGTGATGCAAAAATATTTAATGACCTCAGTCTAAATTTTCATCAATTGACTACAGCGCAAAGAACCGAGTCGTTCACGAATTAAATTTTAAAATATACTGTTCATTCATTTTTTTCTCAAAAATATTCGGGATGCAAAATTTTTTACAGAAATATACCGTCGGTCTCGCACAACTGTTGCGCAAAAATGATGTGGGAATGACGTCGTGGGCGGTATCGCGTAACGGAATAGCGAGACCGAACGGTCTCGCTAAAGCAACGAGCGACACTGTCTGACAGCTCCTTTTGATTAGTGATTAATTACTCAATTAACAATTAACTAATAATAATTAGTGATTAATTATCCTGATTAATGATTAAATAATTATTAATCAATAATTAATTAATCGCTAATGAAATCGGCATGGCACGGTATCGCGCATTGCTTCAACGAGACTGAAATCTCGCGCCGCTGCGCGCTTTCAGTGCGCGATACCGTCTGACGTCATTCCCACATCATCTTCGTGTAATGGTTGTGCGAGACCGGCGATATATTTTTGTAAAATTTTTTGCATACCGAATATTTTTGAGAAAAAAATGAATGAACAGTATATTTTGAAATTTAATTCAGGCGTTCACCCATCTGTTTCTCCCATGCTAAATCATCAGGCACACACATCAAGATCATCGTTCACATCCCGAACGTGTAGAGCCATTGTTTCAAACAAAAATATACCTTTTGTGGTAATTACACTCCGTCGATGTTTATGATTTTGCTCCGGTGCTTGGATAAATCATTGAGGTCAAACCTCATCCACCTTACCATTACCCAGTGCAATGCAGGAGTATTTTGCAAATTTTACAAAAAAAAATGAATTAACCCAACTAGCAGGATGTCTCGAGCACTCCATGAATTTATATAACGATGCAAAAACTATATATACGCTATATCCTATATTATAAGTAGTTGAAAGTTTGTCCTAAATGAAACTTCTTAAAAGTTGATTAAGTTGGTATAAAATACACTGTATTTTAACCATAAAACCAATATTTTATGAAATATATTCAATAGTAAATTTAATTAAACTAATTTGATGTATGCCGTAGAAGATGTTATATTTTTTCTATATATTTAGTCAAACCCAAGGAAGTTTAACATAGTACAAACCCATAACATCTTATTTTTCAATAATTTACAATAATCAACTCGTTGACTTTGTTTGTCACCAATAGTAGATTTCCATAGTAGTAGTAGTTTCACTGCCATCTCATCTAGAGTTCTGACTTTATCATAGAAGTACTAGTGCTACGACCGTTCTTCTTGGCAAAATTTACCACATGATACCAAAAAGTCATCTAATTGGTTGGGATATATCAATGGACATCACAAAATTTGTGTAACTGGTTGTAGCGCACCCGAGACAATATTGTATCATTTCCAATGAAAAAGATATATAGGATAGAAATTTCAAAAGAACATAAATGCCTCCGGCCTCAACAGCATGTAAACCGGCCTGGCCTATTGGATCTTGTTCAAGTTCAACCGGACTCAATCGCACTAATCGTTCACCCTCACAACCGAAATCCCCATCCAAACCTAACCCTAGGCAGCCGGTGGCGGTGGCTTTGGCGGCGGTGGGCGAGCGGATCTGGGAATCAATTGTGGGGCTTTAATGGAACCTCAATGCTCGTAAAAAAAAGCCACTTTCTTCCCTGCTAACTTCTTCCTCGGCGACATCATCCCCAATGCCGTCGACGCCTACCAATTTCACAGCTCCACCCCCCGTCGATTCCCAGAGCCGGTCGCTCGCCACCTCCAACCACCTAGGGTTAGATTTGGATGAGAATTTCAGGTATGGGGTTGAACGGTGAGTGCGTTTGGTTGAACCTGGGTTACATGCTACTGAGGTTGGGGGTATTTTTGTCCTTTTGAAATTTCTCTCTCATCTTTTTCACCGGAAATGGTAACATATTATCTCGGATGTCGCTATTGCTAATTATATAAAGGCAAATTTTGCTACAGGACACTCCTTATATGTGGTTTTAGCCCTAGGACACTGCCCAAACTCACTTTTGGGGGAAAATACTCCATAAACGTGGTAATTTGCCAGTGGACACCGCGCCGATTAAAATAATAATTTCCGATTGAAGAGGAAAGAGAAATTGCGTGAAATGTCAAAAATGCCCTTGGGCCCACATGTCAGCTCTATCTCCTATCTCTCTTCTCCTCTTCCTGCCCACATGTCGCTCCCCGCCGGTCGTCGACCGTGCACGCGCAGACAGCGGCGGAGGCAACGGCGAGCAGCAGCAGCACCCCGGCCCTCTGGCGGCCCACCAGCCGCAGCGCGCGGTGGAGCAGCTGCAGCCGCTCCTTCTCCCCGCTGCCTCGCCACCCTCACCCTCTGCCCCCACCCTTCCTCCCGCCGCCGGCCGACGCGAGCAAGTCGTAGCTCCCGCACCGCATCTCCAGCGCCAACGCCGAGCCACTCATCGCCACCGCCGCCGCCTTTCTCTCATCCCAATCGCCGAATCACGACACTGCTGCCGACGACGATGGTGACGAGTTCGAGGAGGAAGAGGACGTGCGTAGCTCGTCCCCCGCCCGCCACCACCCGTGCCCGCCGCATCCAGCTCATCTCCGTCGGCTGTCGCCCGTCTTCACCGGCGGCGCGGAGCGGGGCGGTGGCTGGCACAGCACGCAGGCCGGCGAGGAGGTGGTTCGCGGATCCGGCGGTGCAGAGCGGGGCAGTGGCGGACGACGACGACGATGGTGACGAGTTCGAGGAGGAGCAGGATGCGCGCAGCTCCTCCCCCGCTGCCGCCCGCCGCTCGTGCGCAGCTCCTCCCCCTGCGCGGGCATGGCCGAAGGCCGGCTTGGAGAGCGAAATGTGGGCAAGAAGAGGAGAAGAGAGATAGAAGATAGAGATGACATGTAGGCCCAAGGGCATTTTTGATATTTCACGCGATTTCACTCTCCTCTTCAACCGAAAATTATTATTTTAATCGGCGTGGTGTCCACTGGCAAATTACCACGTTTATGGAGTGTTTTCCCCCAAAAGTGAGTTTGGGCAGGGCTCTAGGGCTAAAACCACATATAAGGAGTGTCCTGTAGCAAAATTTCCCTTATATAAATCTTGTGGTGCCTATCAGCAATGTCACGTATTTGCGATGTCTCTTAACCAATTACAATACTTATAATGTTATGCAACAAATTTTATCAAGAAGAACACAGTCGTAGCACTAGTACTACTATGATAAAGTCTGAGCTATAGAAACCAATTTCTTTTGGTACTAAAGGAGTACATGAAATGGTCTGCCTTCTGCAACACCTCTCATCATCTATAAATACCCGGGACGTGCGTGCTTTCCCCTACACCACCACTAGCCAAAGCAGCAGTCAACTGCCGCATCGATCACATCACATCAACCAGTAATCAATTGACCAAGCGGTTCTTGCGCCTAGCTAGGTAGCTCGAGCAATGGCGAAGTGGGCGGCGGAAGCGACGGTGATGGTGGTTCTGGCGGTGACGGTGGCGGTGGCGGTGGTGGCGGCGCAGGCGCCACCGCCGGTGCAGTGCGATCCCGGGAAGCTGTCGGCGTGCGCGGTCCCGATCTTCTTTGGGACTGCGCCGTCGAAGTCGTGCTGCTCCAACCTGCGCGCGCAGGAGAAGGACGGGTGCTTCTGCCAGTACGCGAGAGACCCGATGTACGCGTCCTACATCAATAGCACCAACGCCCGCAATACCATCGCCGCCTGCGGCATCGCCTTTCCCAGCTGCTAGGCTAGCTTCGATCGCCATGATGCATGGCGTATATTAAATATATGGTGTGTGCTTGAATAAAGGATGTGAGTTTGAATCAGTAAGAACTATCGATCGATTAATGCACCCCCGTACGTACGTGTTTGATCGATCGATCAGCTGGTGTCTCCTGACTATTTAAGTTTGAGCTAATTTCCGATCTTGTGTGGTACTATCAGTAGTAGTACTACTACACTACTACTAGTACTACTACTATAAACAAACATATATTTTTTATGTATAAAAAAATATACACATATACAAATTTTGTATATGATGTGTGTCAGGATTACGGATAAGGTATACCTTCTACCCTTGGATTTATGCTGTATACCGATACGGTATACCTGTGCGTACACGGATGTTTCCTTTACTCATTAAGGAAATTCATCGTGTAACAGAAACGAAATCCACGGACGGAAGGAGTCCTACTCGGACTGAACTGGGTCGTTACTGTATCGTGGTCTGATATCTCCGAGTTATACTTGGAGATCAACTGACCCGCGATATAAAAGGGACCCCCGGGGGGACCTAAGGCATCGAATCTCATCGCCAACACAACCACCACAGCCTGCGAAGTCGGATCCTACAGGAGCCAAGTTGCCGGGTGATCTAGTCGAACAACTCGACTACAGTCTCGTCGGTATCATCGAGTTCTACTATTCCCTTTGTAATATGTGGTTTCCATTATATAATCCCATACCAACTGGATTAGAGCTATTACCTATTAAGGGGTCTGAACCAGTATAATCCCTATTTCTTGTTTGCTTGATGTCGTATTACATAGATCTTCGTACCAGCGTACCCCAATACCCTCTATATCCGATCTACGAGTATCCATCGTCGACAATGTGTATAAACTTTATATACGATGTGTACAAACTTTATATACGAAGTGTGCAAACTATGTATATGTACGTATTAAAAAACCAAAAAAAACATCATATGTATACATATACGTATACAAGTATACATACTTTATATACGTATGTATACCAAGTTTGTACATACGTATAAAAAGTTTGTATACGTATATGTTAAAAAACCGAGAAGGAAAAAAAGAAAGAAAAAACCAGAAAAAATGAATTCAAAAATGAAGAAAATTTTCTGCGCATACAAAATGTGCAAGCTCGATAACACATGATTAATTAAATTTTAATTATTATATATATTTAAAAATGAATTAATTTTATTTTTTAAAAACAACATCTATATAATTTTTTTAAAAAAACACACTATTTAACATTTAAAAAACGTGCTAACAAAAAATAAGGAAGTTAACCATTTAACAGTTTTAAAACCGCACTAGCGGAAAACGAGAAGTTTAAGTCTCAAGTTGAAGAAAAGAACGAAGCCTTAGTCATTGTCTCGTACCTGCAATGCACGACACGTACTCTACAGGATCGCTGAACATGACAGCGCCAAGAAGAAAGGATAGAAGAAAGGAAGAAGGGAAGTGGAACTAGAGACGGGCGGATGCATTTGGATTTTTGTCAGTTCGTGCAGGGAGGGCATACGCAAGTGTTGGAGGGATTTTCGTTTACGTGGGTTGAACAAATTGATGTCAACATTGTAGCTATCGAGAGCCAAAGTTTTGTGCACCTTCTGTGAACTGTGGCTTCGAACTAGAGCTAGAGCTGTCCTTAACATTCATCTACCTCGATGAGGACTCTGTTCTTAGAGTTTGATGTAGTCTTAAAATGAAAGAATTTCATAGTATTGATCTGAGCTAATTCATATTTTTGTAAGATCTATATGTGTTATAAAACTAGCTCCGAAATCGACATTGGTAGCTAAACGCGGAAGAAACACCATAGGAGATCCAAACACGATAATGACACCGAGACACGATATTTAGTAACGGAGTTCAGCCGCAGCCTACATCTTCGGGGCACTGATTACAGGTGTTCCTCTTCGATCTAGCATATTACAGTGTATCAGAGCTACAGCGACTCACGGCCGGTTGCCGCCGGCAGCTGCTCCCTCTCGCTATGCTAAGTTGCCATGAAGTTACAACAAGCACACCCTTCTACTTATGAGAGATCCTAGGATAGAGTCCGACTCTTACTCTAGTCCTAATACCTATTACAACTCTAAGTCCTAAACTTTAACCGACTTTGTAAACATATTCATCACAAACTCTAACAAACTCCACCTAACACTAACAAACTTCACCTTGACAAATATATCACGCCAACCCGAATCTGTTACTTGCTCAAACCTCCGTTACATTTCCAGCCAACACAGTCACCTCTCACCTACAACCATAGTCCCCACGTCTTCGCCTGGTCGTGGTCAAGATCTGGACGCTGGAGCTTGCCTAACCGCCAATGCCCCTAGAAAGCTGCCACCGAGAGCCTCCACCGCTGTCATCTCCATCCGCCGTAGCCAAACCGACCATCCACCACCATCGTCATGTGCATTCGACTGACCTGCCATCATGAGGGGAGGGCTAGCCCCCACCGCTGCCAGTGTTGCCAACCCTCACCACGGGTGACAGTGAAGGGACGAAGGACTAGTCAATGTCTCCACCCAACGGCACCGCCGCCCACCAAGTTCAAAGGTGACAGTGGAAGGGACAGCGGACTAGCCCCCATCCCCGCCCAACACTGCCGTCTACCAAGTCTGCCACCACCGCCAGTCCTCTCACTGTCGATGAGAGAGGAAGGGACGGCGATTAGATGGTTGTTACTAGTTGAGATGAACAAGTATGTAGAGAAATTAAATAAAAGATAGTTGTAATTTGCTGAGATAAAGAAAGTAGGTGAAAATTAGCTCAATCTTGGAATAAATTTTGAATGCTCAAGATGGGAAATACATCACCTGTTCTTTAGGTGGACATAAGACCACCAGTAAAGTTATGGTGGTGAAAAAGGTTGACAGTTGGATAAATTTTCATGGAAAAAAAGAGTATATTTTCCTTTTCGAGTAGTACGGAACACTCTTTTGAAGACTGAGGAAGAATGCATTTTTTTTCTCCATGCAAATTGGATGCACGTCCACACACTCACACAACCCAGAACTGCTATTTTTGGTGCATGCATTTCCAGTACCATACGCACTACAGTTTACACACGTTTATATAGACGTGAAGAGAAGTGTGTCGCTCATCGTGGTTTTATCAGACGGTTGTTTTATCTATAGTCCATACGATCCAAGTGTTTAAATTTTTGGACGATTTTGTTTATGAGAAATTTGAGTTGAGAGGTCGATAGACAAACTTGAAAACACAAATCATCTTAGAATACTTAACTCTTAAAGTAGCATTTCACGCTCCCACAAGATTAGAAATTCAAAACTCAAACTTAAATCCCAGAAGATACCTGATCGATCGATCAAACACGGGTGCATTAATCGATCGATAATTTATGTATTCAAACACACATCCTTTATATTATTCAAATACACAGTACACCATATATTTATATATGTTTCCACACATTGTCCTTTATTTTATTCAAGCACGCAGTACACCATATATTTATATATGTTGCCACACATCATGGCCCGCACCGGTGAACGGCGGCGACGGAGCCTAGCTGCAGTTGGGAAAGGGGATGCCGCAGGCGGCGATCATCTTGCGTGCGTTGGTGCTGTTGATGTAGGACGCGTACGTCGGGTCTTTCGCGTACTGGCAGAAGCACCCCTGCTGTGCTTTCAGGCTAGAGCAGCACGACGCCGACGGCGCCGTCCCGAAGAAGATCGGGGCCGCGCATGGCGACAGCAGCCCGGGGTCACACTGCGGCGGCGGCGGCGGCGCTTGTGCCACCACCACCGCCACCGCCGCCGCCGCAACCACCACCAGCAGAAGCATCTCCATCGCAGCCGCCCACTTCGCCATTGCTCGAGCTAGCTAGCGCAAGAACCGCCGCTTGGTTACTAGCCGAATGTGATCGAATGTGATCGATGTGGTGTAAGGGAAGGATGCACGTCCCCGGTATTTATAGACGAGATCGAGGTGTTGTAGAAAGCAGACCGTTTCGTGTACTCTCTTCATACCAAAATAAATTGATGTGTAGAGTTTAGACTTTACCATAGTGGTAGTAGTACTATAACTGTTCTTCTTTAGCTGAACGGAGGAAGAATGAATGAAGAAGAAAGAGACATGGATCCTCTCAGTTTCGTGCATTTTGGATACTCGTATTTTTACATATATGGGTCTCTTTGACTAGTAACAGTGGGTCGATATGTACACGTGCAGCAAATTGGTGTCTGCCAAATTAATTGAATCACAACACAAGAACAGGATAGCACCCAAGAAAATCGTCCAAGCAGATGTACAAGACTGCACGCAGGCATCCATTGGAGTTCATTTGGTCATCTTATTTGTTTTTTCGTGGACACAGGAAATCAATTCAACACTTTTTACACATTAATATTTGTCAAGCTTAATTTAAATGTTGTTCGGTTTGAACGTCATAGTCACTCCACCTGTTTTTAAAATATAGTTGTTATAGACTATCACCGTGCAAAATGTATCAAGCGTATATGTTTATAGCTCCATTTTCTCTCTCGGTACCAGCGACGTCGTCATATCCATGAACGGTGGTTGCTTGAGCTTGAGGAGCATCGCCTTCTCGAGAACGCCCTCTCGATGTGTATCTTCTTCTTAATTAGGCCCTGTTAGTTGCTTCAAAAACGAGGAAAATTTTCTGCGCATGCAAAATTAAGAAGCTCGATAACACATGATTAATTAAATATTAAATTTTACATATTTAAAAAGAATTAATTTGATTTTTTTTAAAAAAACTTCTATATAATTTCTTTTGAAAAAACACATCATTTAATATTTGAAAAAAGTGCTAACGAAAAACGAGAAAGTTAACCATTTAACCGTTTGAAGAACGTGCTAACGGAAAACGACGAGGTTAAAGCTTGAAGTTGAAAAGAAAAAAAAAACTAAGCCTTAGTCATCGTCTCGTACCTGCACTGCACGGCACCTGCTCTACCGGATTGCTGAACGTGACAGCGCCAAGGAGAAATGATAGAAGAAAGGAAGAAACGAAGGGGGGTCGGAACGAGAGACAGACGGGCAGATCAGATGCATTCGGATTTTTGTCAGTTCGCGCAGGGAGAGTATACGCAAGTGATCGAGAGATTTTTGTTTACGTGGGTTCTATAAATCGATGTCAAAATTGTAGCAATAGTAGCCAGAGTTTTGTGCACCTTATGTGAACTGCAGCTTCGAACTAGAGCTAGAGCTGCCCTTAATTCATCCACCTCGATCAGGACTCTGTTCTTATAGTTTGATGTAGTCTTTAAATGAAGGAATTTCATGGTATTGAGCTAATTCATGCACCCTCTGTATTTTTAATGTATGACGGCATTGACCATTCGTCTTATTCAAAATTTTTGTACAAATATAAAAATATTTATGTCATGCTTAAAGAACATTTGATGATAAATCAAGTCACAATAAAATAAATGTATTACATAATTTTTTTAATAAGACGAATGATCAAATGTTAATAAAAAGTCAACGACGTCATACATTAAAATACGGAAAGGAGTATTTTTGTAAGATCTATGCGTTTCAAAGGAGGCTTTATACTGGTACGAGTAGGACTCAACAATATTTTTTCATCTATTTTAACTGGATTTCATGTCTACATGGTTTAGTGGCGTAGATCTAATTAACCCTTGACCCTTGTTGTTATCGCAGGGATTGAAGGTGCTATTTTCATAGTCAACAGGGCCAACATTACGAGGGCTTTAGAATTTTTTTTAAGAAAACTGAGGAGAGAATAGAAACTATATAAAAAAATTACAAATTGCATATCTCTACTGTTATAATTTTCGGAGCCGTTCACGTGAGGGACGTGCGGCGGCGAGCAGACTGCCCGAGAAGCCGGAAAGGCTAGCGAGCAGTGAAACTTCACCTTTTACTTGTTTTTTCAGTTTCAGCTGACACGCGCTACTCTTTTTATTTTCTCTGTTTCCATTTTCTGCTTTTACGTGATTCTTATCTTTAATATTTCTTCTTCGTGTGATTCTCCCCATATTTTCTATTTTTCGTTATAGTCTTTCTTTAATGAAAACTTTTTATATGAATTATTTCTAAAAGACGGTATAAAGACTTTATATATTTAAAGTTTATAGGTAGATACTTTATGTGTATAAAGTTTATAGGTAAAAGATTTTATGTATATAAAGTCTATGTGTAAGGAATTTAAAGTTTGTATAGATAATTTGAAAGTTTATTTAGGTATAAATTTCAATAAAAATACAAAAGTTGGTCTATAACTAGATATTTTCGTTAAAGAAAATAGAGTCCAATCCTAACAAACTATTTTTTTTCCAACGCTGGTGGTGACTTCGTAAATCTCTCCAGGAGGATTTGCCGGTCCAGTCTTCGAAGATGTTCATAGGGGTAGGGTTGGTGTGCATGTGTTTATAGGGGGTGAGTGCGTGTGCGTTGTGAGTGTCTGCACTGTACTGTGTAATTTAAAAAAAAACTTGATAATAAGAAAATGATAAACCATATACCAGGTCATCTAACTGAAACAACGGAATACTAGTGCTTGATAGGAGCAAATTATGGTTAAGCACGTCATTACAACAGAAAAGGAGTATTTTACAGTTAAGCGTATCATTATCGTGGTTTGATCAGATGATTGATTTATATATATAGTGAGGGGTGGATCTAGCGTGAGTGCTGGGGGATTCGAACCCGCTAGATCACCATTGATAGAAGGAAAGAATGAAGGGAGAAAAGGAGGAAGATTAGTGGCAGCTCAAGGAGGAAGAAATAGATGAGTCATCCTATGTTCTTAATTATTCTGGATCCGTCCATTATAGTTCATACTATTCAAATGTTTTAAATTTGTTGATGATTTTGTCTATGAGAAATTTCAGTTGAGAGATTGGTATTCTGAAATAGCATTTCAATCAAATTGTTAATGTGTGACTAACAGTGCGCGCGCCCTCCCCCGCGGCGAGGCACATGGCGCGCATGGAGAGGGCCGTGGTGGCAGCGCGTGCACAGTGTGAGGCCCGCGTGGTTTTTTTTTTCTTTTTTTTCTGTTTGGTTTTTTATTTCTGTTTTTTTTTTCCTCTAGGAGGCGATGCTCCTCAAGCTCAAGCAACCGGCGTCCGTGGAAATATGACGAAGTCACTAGTACGGAGAGAGAAAATGGAGCTGGAAACATATATACGCTTGATACACGTTGCCCGGTGATAGTCTATAACAACTACTCCATATTTTAAAAACAGGCGAAGTGACTATGATGTTCAAACTGAACAACATTTAAATTAAGCTTGACAAATGTTGATGTGTAAAAAGTGTTGAATTGATTTCCAGTGTCCACGAAAAAACAAATAAGATGACCAAATGAACTCCAACGGATGCCTGCGTGCAATCTTGTACATCTGCTTGGATGATTTTCTTGGGTGCGATCCTGTTCTTGTGTTGTGATCCAATTAATTTGGCAGAGACCAATTTGCTGCACGTGTACAAATCGATCCACTGTTACTAGTCAAAGAGACCCATATATGTAAACATACGATCGAGTATCCAAAATGCACGAAACTGAGAGGATCCATGTCTCTTTGTTCATTCATTCTTCCTCCGTTCAGCTAAAGAAGAAGAACAGTTGTAGTACTACTACCACTATGGCAAAGTCTAAACTCTACACATTAATTTATTTTGGTATGAAGAGAGTGCACGAAACGGTCTGCTTTCTACAACACCTCGATCTTGTCTATAAATACTCGGGACGTGCATCCTTCCCCTACACCACATCGATCACATTCGATCACATTCGGCTAGTAACCAAGCGGCTGTTCTTGCGCTAGCTAGCTCGAGCAATGGCGAAGTGGGCGGCTGCAATGGAGATGCTTCTGCTGGTGGTGGTGGCGACGGTGGCGGTGGCGGTGGTGGTGGCGCAATCGCCGCCGCCGCCGCAGTGTGACCCCGGGCTGCTGTCGCCATGCGCGGCCCCGATCTTCTTCGGGACGGCGCCGTCGGCGTCGTGCTGCTCTAGCCTGAAAGCACAACAGGGGTGCTTCTGCCAGTACGCGAAAGACCCAATGTACGCGTCCTACATCAACAGCACCAACGCACGCAAGATGATCGCCGCCTGCGGCATCCCCTTGCCCAACTGCGGCTAGGCTCCATCGCCGCCGTTCGCCGGTGCTGGCTATGATGTGTGGCAGCATATATAAATATATGGTGTCCTATGTGCTCGTATAAAATAAAGGACGATGTGTGGAAGCATATATATATATATATATATATATATATATATATATATATATATATATATGGTGTACTGCATGATTGAATAAAATAAAGAATGTGTGTTTGAATACATAAATTACCGATCGATTAATGCACCCGTGTTTGGTTGATCGATGAGGTGTCTTCTGGGATTTAAGTTTGAGTTTCTAATTTCCGATCTTGTGGGAGCGTGAAATGCTGTACTTTAAGAGTTAATAAGTATTCTAAGATGATTTGTGTTTTCAAGTTTGTCTATCGATCTCTCAACTCAAATTTCTCATAAACAAAATCGTCCAAAAATTTGAACACTTGGATCATATGGACTATAGATAGAGCAACCATCTGATCAAAACCACGATGAGCTATGCACTTCTCTTCACGTCTATATGAACGTGTGTAAACTGTAGTGCGTGCTGGAAACGCGTGCGCCAAAAATAGTAGTTCTGGGTTGTTTGCATGGATAAAAAAAATGCATTCTTCCTCAGTCCTCGACGAGTGTTCCGTACTTCTCGAAAAGGAAAAATATACTCTCTTTTTTTATGGAAATTTATCCAACTGTCAACCTTTTTCACCACCGTAACTTTACTGGTGGTCTTATGTTCACCTAAAGAACAGGTAATGTATTCACATCTTGAGCATTCAAAATTTATTCCAAGATTGAGCTTTCCACCTAATTTCTTTATCTCAGTAAGTTACAACTAACATTTATTTAATTTCTCTGCACACTTGTTCATCTCAACCAGTAACAACCATCTAATCCCCGTCCCTTCCTCTCTCTCACCGACGGTGAGGACTGGCAGCGGTGGCAGACTTGGTGGACGGCAGCGTTGGGCGAGGATCGATGGG